TACACACCCACACACACACACACACACACACACACACACACACACACACACATACACATACACACAAACGCTCAGTGTATATCTACTATCTGTTTAGATTATATTGGGGAACCTTTCATAACTACAATCTGTCCAAGACAATCACCCTAACAAAAGACCCCTCCCACCCCCCTCCCCCTTTGTGTTCTTTCTATTTGAAAATGACACAACCCAATACGCCCACCTGTCTTTAGTTTGAGTAAGAGTTTTACGGCACTGGCAAGACAATAAGGTCATATAAGTGGCCGAAGATTAGAGGTGCTACAAGAGAGTAACAAACACAAAAAAAGAAGGAGGAGAGATAAGTAGGCCTACGATATGTTTGATTGGGAAGAAGAAGCAAACCACAGCGGAGCACCCGCCAAACACCCACCGTCCACCTGTCTCACATAACTACCTTTCTACTCCTCGATGCATGGCCGTCTGGGGGAGAATTTCGACTGTATTATTTTTACACATTTAAAATGTGAAGTTAAAATACTTGGAGAAATCGTGAGAGAGGAAGAAAGGAGCAGTCTAGACAGCGCAAGAAAGCACAAGGAGATGATAGTATTTCCACAACCCGTGTGTCTTCATATTAAGGTCTTTGCCGAGTCAGCCAATGGCATCCAACAAAAGGTGGTATCAGGCTCTCGTCAAAATAATCAAAGTAATCATTTTTTCCACAGGTTTGTGAATTTTTATCAAATTTTTGTTTTTTGGCCCAACACCTTTCATGCCCATTAAAGAACTCATTTCTGTGTGGATTTTTCATGAAAACGTTGATTAAAGGCACAAAAAAGGTACATTTTCAGTTACCGCGGGCTCTTACTCTAAGGAAATAACTAATCTTTGACGGCCATTTTCTCACTAATTTTACCTCTGAAAACAAGTGACCCCCACCTCCTTCTTTCGCAAATATCTCGACTTGTATTCAAGATAAAGAAATACTTTGCTCGTCCAAAAAAAGGCAAGTGAACAAGCTTTAAGATGATACCAATAACTCTACAAGCCCAAAAATTGACGAGAGCCTGATTCCACCACACTGTCTCACAATTGATCGTGTTCCAAAAAAAAAATTCTTTTCTTTTCGCTATTAAAAAAACCAACAGGACATAGCCTGTGCCGGCCTTGTACACGTGAAGATTTCGTAATCAGATTTTTCTCACTAGAATGTAGATCTAATCCCTTCGGTATAACAGAAACAATAATGAAAATAATAATAGTAATAAGCTTCAAGATTATGACAATTAGTAATAATAATGATAATAACATAATAATAATAATATTTATAATAATAATAATAATG